GTAATACTACTACTAATAATAATAATAATGTGGTGCTCATTATAGCATCATGAAGGAAAGTGGTAATAATAATAATAATGATAATAATAATGATAATAAATCATAATGATAATGATGATTCATGATGGTAACAACAAACAGTACTATTAATAATCAACTACCAAAACTATACTCTTGATTGATAATAATACCGATGCGTGAATACGCGACGAAGATACAAATAATGTGAATAAGAAAAAAAACCCACAAAGGGAACGAACACAACCGTAGAATTCCCCAACCCGACCCTTCAGCCCCTCCTCTTCCCCAGACCTCGGCGACGCAGGCCCCCCTCCCGCAGGAGCCGGAGTCCCCGCGGGCGAGGCTGAGGCTCCTGGCCGTGACGCAGGAGGGGCTCGTGGCGGCGTCGGAGGGCCAGGTCGAGGCGGCGAGTCAGGGGAGGAGAGGACAGGTCTCGATGTAAGTATGGTCTAAGGTTTGTGTGTGTGTGTGTGTGTGTGTGTGTGTGTGTGTGTGTGTGTGTGTGTGTGGTGTGTGTGGTTGTGTGTGTGTGTGTGTGTGTGTGTGTGTGTGTGTGTGTGTGCGCGCGTGCGTGTGCGTGTGCGTGTGTTCTGGTAAGTTTGTGAGGTGAATGCATATTGGATGAAAAGAGAATCAGTTGTGCTATAAAACTCTTTTGAGTCATGGCATTATCAGACATAAGACCATTTAATTACCGATAAACGTAAATTACTTAGATTTAAAGAACTACGCAATGAGGGAAATAATAGTAAAACTACTTCGTCGAAGTAAGAAGAATATATTTTTTTCAGCAGGTGGAATCCTTCCACGCGGAGCCTCCTTTGGCACTGCCCAACAGGGACATCGTTGGCCACAGTAGTTCACCTCATGACGGCGGCTTCGAGGCGGCCCCGAAAACCCACGGAGCCACGCACGAATTCCTCTCCGATGCCTCTACAGCGTATTCGCACGAGTATCCGAACCAAGCGACGGAAATCGTTTCGGTGAGTTTTGATCCTTTCTCTTTTCGTTTTAACCTTAGTCATGGCTATTTGCGTGTTTTCAACTGAAGGAAGTACAAGAAATTAAGCTTTTTTTGAACAGTGATTAGAAGAAAATACCAGTAGCATATGGCTGTGATGATCATCAGAATGGCCAAACGATAGTATAAAAAAGCGTCTCTAAAATATATCCTATCTCTTCTAGTTGGATCCTACATGGACGATTGAAGTTATTGGAGTCCATCTGGGTCCCTTAGCTGAGGTCTCTGTGGGATGGAGTCCACGGGGTTCAGGGGGCGTCGAGTACCTTGTGTCTTGGGTCGAAGAGTCTGGCTCGGTCTCAGGTCACCTTCTCACAGACCAGGTCACGAGCGAACTCTCTCTGTGGCCGGGCCAGGCATATTACATTCAGGTATGCTTTGTATATTTGTGATGTGTCTTTCAGCTATATTGCGAATATGAAATTATCCAGTTGATACTATTTAAAAAGATTAAGACTATCTTATACATTTCAAATTTGTTTTAATCGTCTAATCTTTTACTCGAACAGGTGGAGCTGATTGATAGCCAAGGAAACCCAGTTCTAAGAAGTCTCGCCACACCAGTCAGGTTTGCCAAGACTTCGACCGAGGCAGACGAACATACAGAGACAATTGCTGAAGCAGAACACCCTTATTTGCCCACGACAGACGTGACCATGTTGACCCACACCGCCCCCCGCTGAAGTTCGAGTTTGGGAACCTTCAACGGAAGAAAACAGATCGACTCACCGCCTCTGCTGGAGTTCGAACGCGAAGCTCTACAGAAAGCACAGACTGGACTACAGAGATGAATGCAGATCCCACAGGTGCTCAGTATGTTCAAGACACGAACCTCATACATCGACATGTAGAACTACTTAACAATCATCAAAACGTGTCCTCAGAGGAAAAAGACGAGTACATAAGCCAGATCCTGCAAGAGAGGACTTACGAAGTCATCAATACGCGCACGAGCACCGACTTCGCCCAACAGGAGGAGGATCTTTTACCCGAAGTCTCGGCCAAGGAGATTCAGACCGACGCCGCCACCGACCGCGTATCGGAAATCCTGATCTGGTGCGCCGGCGTGGGCATCGGCATGCTGCTCGTACTCACCCTGTGCAGTATGGTCATCTGGCTCTTGGGCAGGTGTCGTCGAGGAGGCCCTAGGAACGAAGAATGCCTCGAGGAAGGACTCAGCAGTCTGAGGAGCTCCTTCAGGACGGGCGGTACCAAGCAGAACCAAAGAAATCCAACGACGTCTTGGACATTCGAAAACTTCTGCTCCTCGGAGAGAAAGCCGAACTTGGTCAACGGTAGAAAGGAGGCCGTGCCGTCCGGAATAGACAATGCCTCTCTAGTTGAAAATTATGTCATAATGTTAGAGTCGCCTGCGAGTGGGAGTGAAGCAAATCGCTAGTCACTGTTTGCGTTCGTACATTTAAGCTATAAATATGTATATGTGTATGTATGTAGAAATATGATGGCTGCATATGGTACCTGCTTTACAGACTTTTGAAATGGCTTCGATCCCATGATAGTTTTTATTATTTTTTTACTTATCATGAAACTTGCGACCATGGACTGCATTCAGCACATTTCATATATTATAATAGAAAGCAGATGCGATTTCAATATTGAAAGGTTTCCCCCTTTTTTATGCAATCGCCACTACCACAGGACATGAATAAGAGGTCTGGAAGCAATATTAGAAGATAGTATATTTTGTGATGTTAAATTTTTATTTGATATTATGTTATAGTTTTACATTATTATTTGATAACTATATTTCAGAAAAATCTAGCAACTACAGTCAAGGCCGTAGGTCACCAAACCCAGTTAGCTTTCAGTTCTAATTTGCTTCTTATCCAGTATTGTGGGGAGTCTTGGGCAAGGTCATATTTCACACAAAAAAAATATAAATCACAATAAATTTTGTAACAATCTCCACATGAGACTGACAGCTGGAAGTTGAGTTATTGTTTTTGTGCAATTTTCATTATGATAGAACGGTCAAAGGTGACGAGTTGTCTTAATTAAATTTGATTTCAGATAAAAAATCAGAGCTTGAATTATTCACACTATTTGTATTTACTGGAACAGACAGCCAGAAAGGATATATGATTACAAGACTGCATTTATGTGATTTTCATTGTGACATATAAATAAGTCATTTTCTTTACCAAAGACTTTGTATTTAAATGTGTATATATTATGTTTAAGTATGCTATAAACTGTATAGTTATATGAAATTAATGTGTTTGGCTTACCATGTTCTTTTAGATATGAAGCTTAATTTGAGTTGCTTATTTTCAGTAACCTTTAAAACTCGATATATGCCAGTTACAGTTCAGTAATATTCTGTTCACAGAAAACGTAGTCGTTTTACACATCAACTTAGTTATTCTTAATGTTAAACTGCTGTCATACAGGACACAGAAGTGTAACACCCATATTATATAATTTAGCCTATAATAGGTCCTCTAATGCAATGAAGAGGCCATTTCATATATACTTGGGCTGTGAATGCATTTTATTTGTGCCCAAAAACAGATATTTACAGTTCAGTTCCTTATGAGGTTCAGACACAAGGACGAAAATTAATAACTATTGTTAGCTTTTGTAACACTTTAATTTCTTCCCTTTTTTTATTAAAACGTGAATTGCTTCCCAACTGATTCACCCTCAAAATCATCAATCCTAGAGACAATACCTTACTCATAATACAATCCAAGACCATTATAACATAAAAAAATATGTATTATATTCTTCCTTGAGTCATTCCTTTGCTTGCCTTGGTCTCAGGGCCTTATGTACATATCTTATTAAAAAGTTGATTTGATAGTTTACTGTTGTTGTCATGTATATAAATAAACATATTTTCAAATGTTGCCTAAAATGAATTTTTTTCTTTTCCCTACACTAGCTATTGGATATTGAAATTATGAAGTGGATTTGGAAGACAGACATTATAATTTACATTTCTTCTCGGCCACATATTTTGCTACATTTGTCTGTCTAAAAAAGAGAATCTAATATTGTTATCTGCACTATTTTTCATCTAAATAATTTTCATACCTTTTTCCCCTGACTGATTTATTTAAAACCTTTTCATACACAAGAAAGGAATATAAAGAAAATGGTTAACCCATTCGGTTAATGGTTAAAAAGCAAAATAAATATGCTAGACATCTAAGGTCATATAGCACTATAGGAAGGTACAGTAAAGGGTGGTAAAAGGTGATAGTTGTTACGTGTCAGCTATCTAGAGTAGTATTGAAAGGTTAAAGATGAGTTAATGAGTTGATGGGTGAATGGGTTATGGTGGGTTTAGGTAAGGGGATTAGATCAAGTGAAGGATATGTATGCATCTGAGGAAGGAGAACAAGTTGTCAGAGCAGAAAGTGAGGGATTCTGTAAAGATGTCTGAAAGGTTGGGAGCTTGGTGAAGGGAGGATAGGTGTGGGAAAGCAGAGGTGCGGGCTGTAGCAAAGCGTGGACAGGACGACAGAATGCGTGGAAGTGAAAGAGGGACATTACATTAGGGAGTTGGGATAGAAGGATGTGCAAGGAAAGTCTCTTGGAAGCAGATAATGGATGGGTTATAGGAAGGATATGACAAAGGTCAGGTCTGTGAGAATAGAGACAACGAATATTCCAATGTAGGAGAGCTATTACTTAGTTGATCTATGAGTGATAACGGTTACAGTGTGTTTTGGAGAATTTAAAGGGGAAGGGGCTAGGGGGCGAGATAAGGAATTGGAGGGTGGTGGTGGTGTAGTATTAGGAGGGGTTTCAGGAGGTGGAGGATCTGGGGAAGGGCGTAGTTATGACAAGAAATTCATGTGTGTATCCAGGAGGGAGTGGAAGGGCTAGAGGGGATGGAGGGAGTGTTAATGTGTAGTTGGAGCTGAGGGGGATGGGCTTTGTTGGAAGGGAGTAGGTGGAAGGGGTGTAGGGGAATATGAGTAGGATGAGGATGGATATCTGAGGGGGGGGGGCTTGTTGGGAGAGAGTAGGAGGAGTAGGATGGATATCGCAGTAGTTGGAGCTGAGGGGGATGGGTTGTGTTAGGAGGGAGTACGAGGAAGAGGTGTAGGGGGAATATGATTAGGAGGATGGATATATGCAGTCACTTTAAGTGTGGAGGGAGCGGGAGTTGTGGAATTTGAGGGTGGGTGAGGGGTTTCAGTGTCATTTTGGGACTTGAGCAGATAGTTTTGAATATCTTCAAGTTTCTGCAGTGGAGTTGGTTGGAGAGTTTCGTGAGACAAAGGCTTTCTTATGGGGGGGGGGGGGGAAGAGGAGACTGGTGTCTGAGGAGGGTAGTAGTTGAGATGGAAGTGTCTGGAATCAGAGTGGCAAAAAATTTGACTGGGGAAGGTAGTTAAATAGAGTAGTTAAGATATTTGTAGAGCTGGGGGTGGTAGAAGGATGGGAATGTGTGGAGGAAGAAGTATTGTTGAGGGAGGTATATTTAGAATGAAGGATAATGAAACCTACTTTTTCACTAATTTACTTATATTTACCATGCCTAAATACAAAGATATGACTCACTGATGTAATAAAAAAGTACAATAAAATACGGCAAAATAAAATATCAATGTGTAAACAATTAATTTAAGACATTTTCACAAGCAGAAATACTTTTATAGTAACACTAATAAGAGTAGCATAATTTTTGTTGTACTTTGTATTTCAGCCACACTAACACATGAATAATAATAATAATAATAATAATAATAATAATAATAATGAAAAAAAAAAAAAAAAAAAAAAAAAAAAAAAAAAAAATCCAGGCGTTTTAAAGTAGTTTCTGTAAAAGTCACATACACATTCATTCACTTCCACTTAATAGAAAGTCAGTCTAATAAAAAAAAAATAGTTGTCTTTGTTTTTGCTGCACTTTTTTACGGACATTTTCGGTCCACCTGTGATTTGCCAGACTCCTCATATTCCTGCTTGCTCACCCACATCTGCTGGAAGGAGCCTAGGGAGGCCAGGATGGAACCTCCAATCCATGAGCCAAACCTCCTCTCTGTTGAGCCTGTTGCCGAGATCAGCTTAAACCTCATGTTTGGTGGTGTTCGACTCGACAAGTCACGGTTTAGGCGCTCCACAAAGCCATTAAGAAGAGAGTTCCCGCCTGTTACGATGACCCCAGAGTAAAGGCTGGGCCGGAGGTCAATGTCACATAGACCTATGCTGGTGGACACGACATGTGACATTCCCAGCATAGTTGAGCCCACACCCTTGATGTAGCTGGGGTCAAACAGGCTCTCTGTGATCCGGTAACGCTCTGTGCCATATTCCTGGAAAAAAGGAAGAGTGTAAGGACAAGGCGTAGACTGAGTACATTGGTCTCTTGTTATGCCTCAGTATGTATCACTGTATTAACCAATGTCATGAAAATTCAGCTTGAGGGGCTGGTGACATGAACATGTTGTCATGGGGAAAAAATGGCTATGGATTGGGTGACAACTTGCTGTCATGAGAGAGGGTAAGGGTGAGGAAAAAGACTCGTCGTGAGTGTATAAGCCTCTTGGAGGGTGATTAGACTTATTTAGCCTTTAAAATGGGACTTTTGCATTATTCCTATCGATGAACAAGTGTAGAGTGTAATATCCGTGAGCCATAACTGAAAGAGCGCCGCCTCTAGGGAGGGCACTATTTCCATGCTCAGGATTCTTATTGCTGCCCCCATCACCAATGGCTCACTCAGGGTGTATTAAAGAAAATCAAATATTACAAAAACAAATAAGAAAATAAAAAATGTATTCTTTTTTTCTTGCACTGAGTTATTTCTACAAAGAGAGATGATATGGAGTCTGTGCAAGGAAAACAATATATTACCATCTGGATAAAGCAAATCAAAAAACAAATTTGCACATTGGAAAATAGCAAAAAAAAGCTAAAAACATTTATGCAAAATGGCACTGTAAAGGGGAGGCACAGAGTTTTGTCACTGGACATGAGTGTTTGTGTGTGCTCAGCTTACACGCAACATACCTAGCAGAGAGACTGCTTAGACATGCCTAATGGTTGTACTTTGGTCCATGTAATTGCTGTGAAGCAACCAGATTCAAGGGGTTAATATAATCTTTAGTCCCTAAAGTCCTATTCACCATGAATGTGGCCCACAATTTTATGTGGTAAGTCCTATTCACCATGACTATCCACATGGTTGTTAAAATATGACACACTTATTCCCACATCCTTTTCATTATCATCTTTTCCATCGGGTGTATGTGCTATCCACTAACATAACTGGTCCTGATTGTCAAGTTTCCTCCAGCTATACCTAGGCTACCTTATCATCCCTATGCTCCCATTCCCCTTGTAGGTTCTCTTCTCCCTGAGCCAGTCATAGAGTCATGATCACTATTATCAATCACTGTTGGATCTAGTTGTGGCATGGAAATCACAGTGCCGGAAATGTGGGCAGTTGGTTAAGCAAGTAGCCAACATCATGGGCATGTGGCGCATAGGCCAAGCGTATGTTATTTTGTGTAAACTTTTCTTTTTCTTTTTTCTTTTTTCATTTTAAATAGCTTTTTAGTTTTTTTGCCATTTCCCAAGGTCATATTTGTCTTTTGATTTGCTTTATCCTGATGGTAATAGCTTATTTTCTTTGCACAGTCTCCATATCATCTCTCTCAGTGCAAAAGAAAAAAAGAAAAAAAAAGAAAGAAAGAAAAAAGGTTATTTGTGTCATCTTAATTTTTCGTAATTTTCAATTACAGCAGCCATGAATACGGTGCATAGCATGGAAATGGTGTCCTCCCTGGAGTGGGCACTCTTCCAGTCACAGCTTACACATGTTACATTTGACATTCATTTATTGATAAGAATAATGCCAAAGCTCCTTTCTAAGTGCCAAATGAGTCAAATCACATTCTAAAAAGGTTTGTGCACTTCTAGTGAGTCTCTTCTGTTACCCTGGCCTTTATTCCGATGACAGCATGCTCCCGTCACCCGGCTTTAGACCCAGATTATTCCATGACGGGACCATAACATCATCCAGATTGTAGGGGGTAAGATGGAATACTGACAGTCTAAAACAAATATACATATCAGAAAGGTTAATTTTTGTCCTGCTTCATATCTTGAAATACCCCTAAATATGGTTCTAAATAAAATCACTGCTTAAAGCAGTTACAAACCTTTTTGTATTACTTTCCATGAAACTGTCTTTTTGCAAAATCATGTTTTGTGGAAAGTACTCTTTCATTACAATAATAATTCCTCTTGATTCTTGTCTATGTCTTTTGTTAAGTACTTTTATCAAAGGTACTATGACTAGATCTTAGAAACAGCATATGTGCAAGCCATATCAATTTAACTTACATCCTACTCTAAAGAAGTGCTATTTGTTGAAACATCAGCCGTATTCTTACACGAATGTTGGATCCCTACATCCCACACCAAATTGAAGTGGTATTCTTAAAAGTCGGGCGCAAAGGTGGTGGGGGGCTACATCACACTTTAATCCCACAATTTGTTGGAACAATTGTGTAGCCCGTGACCCCTCCTCACAATTATCTCCAAATTAAAAAGAAACTTTGTAATTATGTGATGATTAACCTCAGTAAAAAAAAGAAGAAGAAGAAGAAGAAGAAAGAAAAAGAAAAGAGCGAGTTATCATTTTTCGCCTCTCAGCATTGAAGGTTTTCAAGAAGTAACTCACAACTTGCCACAGTACCTTCTAATCTTGTTTTGCATCTTCAGTTATGTTTAGGATACATGTGTTTTAACCTAAATGAGCATATTAATAATATATATTTTTATAAGAAAACCCATGGCATTAATTCATTGATATGTATATATGGTAAAAATAATGGGTGGGTAGGTTGATGAGGGAGGGGGAGGGTAGGGGGAGGGTAGTGTAGCCGCAGGTTTGGGTGTTTGGTGTGGATGTATATGGTAGGAGACTCTGACTGTGGTATTTTACAATATGGAAGAGGTAGATGTCGAGGGAGGACCGTTTTTGTGGGGTACGTAGGGCTTGTAGGGCGAGTAGGCAGAGAGTGGTAGATTGTAGACTTCCAACTAGTTATTCCGATAGATATATGTTGATGAGAGCGTTATGGGGTAGGTAGATTACATGCTTCAATACAAATGAAAAGAGAGGTTTGGACAGACAGGATGTATAGAGAAAATTATGTGTATATATGTACACGTGTGTGTATACATAGGCTGCATACATACACGCACACACAATCATACACATACACGCACACACGAGAATTAGTTATATCCTTTATTTTTACGTATTTAGCAAAAATATTACGTTACGGGATTACCAAAGCCTACTAGATTACATTTTTTTTTTTTTTTTTTTTTTTTTTTTTTTTTTTGTTGTTGTTGCGACAGCCCCTTAACCCACTAACGCCAGTATATTTTGAAGCCGAAAATAAAAGTTTCCCGGGTGGCTACAAAATTGGTGTGAGGGGCTGGCCCAGACTCTGCCCGCACCTCCGGTTATAACTCCTTTATTTTTATGTATTTAGCAAAAATATTACGTCACAGGATTGCCAAAGTCTATTAGATTACAGGAGATTCCCCCCCCCCCCAATTTTTTTCGAGTATTTTTGAAAATTTTTGTCACGATGGCCCTGGTATATTTTGAAGCCGAAAATAAAAAGTTTCCCGGCGGCTACAAAATCGCCGCGTAGGACTGGCCCGGACTCTGCCTGCGCTCCGTCCGTGGCCCACTGCCGAGTCTGAATGCAAGCCCCGATACAGCGTCACACCGGCGGGATGCCCGGCATTTTTTTTTTTCTGGGTGTCTCATATGTGGGACACCCGTCATAAATGGGTTAAGAACCGAAAGACAAAAACTTAAAAAACATGGCCTGCCATACACAAATAATCCAACCTCAAATCTGAATGCTGACAGTGTCTCAGTTTATCATTTGCTCCACACACACCAAAACTGGTCCCATTCTGCCATTCTGGCTACATCTACCCAGAAAGTTATCTGGAAAGCTCAGCTGGATATAATAATTTAAACATCATGTAATTGATGAACTTGCACTTGCAGTGCCTAAACCATTGAGCTAGCCAAAATATGCTGCTACATTAGAACAGCTGTATGTGAGATCTCACAAGGCTAGCCCAGTAATTTGAATCACTGCTTAACATATAGTCCCTTGCCTGCAGACTCAACAGTAAGAAAAATAAGAAAAAAAAGAAAAAAAAAAAGAAGGAATATTTAGCCATCTTTCACAGGCAGTGGTTTTCTATGTGTGGGCCAAAAACTAAGTATATCTTGATACAAGAGTGCAAGAGACTATGTAGGACTTGATATCTACATTTACAGATCTTATTCTAAAAAAACTAATTAGCAAATTTCTGATTTTGCTGTTTCCTGTTAAATATAAAAAAAAGCATAAAAAGAAATCAATCCTAAAATAAATGAAAATAAATAAACAAATAAATAAAAAAAGTAAACAAACTGCTAACCATATTATAACCGGTAGGAAACTCGTAGGGCTCTGTGGGGATGCTGTTGATGGCTTCTTCCTCATAGGGTGACTCTGAGCAGTGGAGCATCGTCTGCTGAAAATCTCTGACTACCTCTCTCTTCATGTAGTTGTGCCAACGTGGTAACCTCAGACAAATTGTTTTTCTTTGTCCACTTGGGTCGGTCACCTTCCTTTACCACCTGCTTGTCTGTAATCATGTATGGTGGGATGAGGTCTACGCCAGACTCCACCAGGTAACTGTTTGCCTGTGTTGGGGTAGAATGAGAGATGAGAGAGAGAATGCTGAAAATAATATATAGTGCAGACCAGGGAAATTTGGGCCTATTCTTTAATAACTTTGTTTTAGTCAGAGGCATCATTGGAGGGGAGGGGGGGCAAGTTTATTTCTGGTCTATGTAGTTTGAAAATAATTTAATGGAGCAACATGTGTCAAGGGGTCTCTGAAGTGTTAGAATTTTGAGATGACCAAATCCACACCACTGACAAGATATGATAAGAAAAGAATAAGAGAAGTAGCAACAACAGCGGAGCAGAGAGTATAAGAAAAATATAGACAGAACATCAGCATTTAAAAAGTATATACCTGATTGAGGAGAAAATCTCCCCCTAAAGGCGACTTCACAATGGCATGCTGCAGAACATATCCATCGTGAACTGGCACTGCAGATGTATGTGTGGCCCCAGAGTCAAGCACAAGCCCGGTAGATCTTCCATTGGCAAATGCTGCCAACACTGCAGATTTAACCAGGAAGAAAGCTGGACCTGGTTGATAAAAGATAATTAATACACTATTGAAATATGTTGTCATGTGCATTCTATGGGGTGTTCTCAAAATGAATGGACAAGAAATAATACAAATAAGGAATGAGAGAATATATAATAGCAATACCATTTACAATCACTACCAGTAGTAATTGTAGTAGAATCCTTATCATTAAATAAAGAGCAATAATAGCAATTTCATAAATTATGGTATAAATAGCTATGGCAATATTACTATTAATGAATTGGTGAAAGCATTACATATCATAGTCATACAGTTACAATTGCCTGAAATACAAATGCAATTAATTCTTGACTACATGAATTTACATCAAGAATGATTTTTGACCTGAAGATGAAATCTGGGAAGATCTTAAAAATGTATAATCTTTGAATAAAAGAGGCAAGATTTTTTTTTTCTTTCATGAATGTTGGCCTACTTATTATCATGCTCTATCATGGCCTTCCAAACTCCTAAGCAAAATTTCCATCTTCACCCATGATAGTATCAACAGTATAACTTGAAGGTACATTAACCCCTTACCTGATATTTTTCAAAGAGCAATTCGCACAGACGTTCTCTCTTGCCACGTGCATTCCACTAAAATATGGAAAATTCCAAAAATTATTACTATGACTCCTGAGGATGTGCAAAAAAACACACAATAAATTGTACATAATAGCTGAGCATCCCCACAGACATGCGTACTGATCTTAGAAAATAGTTGTAACAGACAAAATAACCATTTCAGAAATCTTACTAATTCCTTCTGTTCCTCTTTGGACAAACGGAAGATAGTAACACTTAGGATGTAATCTGACTAACTTATTTCTTCAGCAACAAAGCATTAAAGTACAAAACAATAACATTTAACTTTTTATTGTTATTGCACCAAGCCATATGCTACCTAGAGATGATACCGAGTCTGTGTAAGGAAAACTCCTATCATCATCTTGATACAGAATATCTAATAACAAATATAGACCTTGGAAAATGAGTGGAGGGGGAAGTTAAAGTAGAAAAGGAGATAATGACATTGCAATGTTTGTGTGGATCAAGACTACATGCTGCCCTACTGTTATTATACTCCATCTCAGACTATTGCATGGCATACCAGGGGCATAAGCAACAAACACACTAATGTAATAAAAAACAATGGGGGTGGGGGAAAAAATGCAATTTAGATAAATTATCAAAATGAATGGGAAGGTGGCATGGGACACTGGGG